GCTGACACCCTGAGACAGGCTCCAGACAACCCACAGGGACAATCCACAGGGACCTGTAGGACAAGTGAGGTATTTCTACAAACAGATCACGAGTCACTATCTCCCCTCTAAGGTGCCCTTACAGCAAAACCTGTGCTCAGATCCAGGCTCTGACCTAGAAGAAAGAGAGGAAGGGAGAGAAGAGTTTAAGCTAAAGCAGCTTGAGGATAAAGTGGAGCTGAATTCCCAAGAAACAGGTCATTCCATTTCGGCACATGGCCCCGTTCAGGCTGGGGATTAACAGCAAAGGTCACATTGAAAAACCAAAATCGAGAGGCCCCGAACTCAGCACACGGCTGGGAAAAGCTGAGAGCTCCGGGTGGGAACGGTGCCTTTGAAATACAGCCTGGATCTTTCATGTGCAAGAAGACAGACCCAGCTGATACAGATTAGGGAGACAGGAGCTAAATCCTCCAGGAAAAGAAGAAAGGGGGGAGTTCTCCTCCCAGCACCCCTTCATGCCTGGCAGAAGCGATCCCTGTGAACAACACTCCGACTTCTCTGTGCTCCTTCTCCTTTGTTCTTCCTTACCAGGACCCTTACAAGACACATCGGAGCCTCTGAGGGCTCCACATGCCATGGTGGCAGCTCCCTGTGCTCACAGGGAAAGTGGCTGGGAAGAGCTGAATCCAGAGACACCAGCAGATAAAAGCTGGGCTGAGGCAGGAGGGGCAGGTTTACACAGTGCCTTTGCTTTTCCAATCCAAACCAAACCTCAGAAAAGCTGAGCAAAGCATGAGGAAAACAAGGTGTGAAAAGCTGTCCCTTGGGAGGAGGGAGAGATCAGGAGATCGAGGTCATCCTGTGGAAAGCTGCTTCAGAGCTGCTGTTCCACAGGCTGGAGCCCACCATGGCCACAGAACCCTCGGCAGTGTTTTGTATCATCACTTCCCTGTCAACCCTGGGATCGAAACATTACTAAATCCCAAGAACTTGACATTCAGCTGCCCCTTGCCCCCTAAAAGCAGCAAGATTAGGCAGATCCGGCCCAGCCAGAGAGACACACCATGTTTTCCAGGCATTTTTTAAGTCCCTGTTTGCTGTGGAGGGAATCGAAACGCCTTCCCCAGCAGCAGCCCCTATCCCATTCCTCCCGGGGGAATTGCTGCTGGAGCAGGACAGGCAGCAGCAGTGACCTTCAGCCGCCTATTTCCTCGCTTTTCAGGGGGATTTGGGCTCCGGGCGGATTTGTATTTCACATTTGCAAGCCCGAGCTGCAGCGCCTCATCCTCAGGGAGGCTTTGAACTGCAGATCAAGAGGAATTTCCACCCTCTGATGTCGGTGCAGAAATGCGGCCGCACCGGTTTGGGAACGACTTCCAAGGCTGGACCTCTCCAACACCCGCCCCCGCGCCTTTATCTTCCCTCTCTTCCCATCCAAACCCGCAGTTCCTCCTTACCCCCTCCCAAATTCAAACCCTGTCCTCTGCAGCCTGACATTCCTGGCCGCTCCCGAGGAGCTGAGGATGCTACATAAATAATTTATCCTGAGCGACAGCCATCGCAGGATTTAAGGTCATTCAGGCTTTTAAAATCCTATCAGCATGCTTCCCGAGCCGAGCTGCCAGCTCCATTTGGAGCATCCCGCGGAGCCGGCGCATCCCTGCGTGTAGACAGACAGACACGCTCGGGCCCCGCGGGATCCAGACGCTCCCTGTGAATTATTAACGACCCGCGGGCGCTGACGAGGCGTTTTTTACAAAAAACCTCGAACTCCAGAGTTTCTAACTCCTCAGGGACGAGCTCCATAGCCTCAGTTTCCCCATCCACCCACAGCTTCTATAACCCGTTTCCCTATCCATCCGCAGCTTCCACATCCTCCGTTTTCCTCTCCACAGTTTCCCTATCCAGTTTCCCCTTTCCCAGCTTCCACAAGCCTCAGTTTCCCCACCCTGGCTTTCCCGTCCTCAACCACAGAACTCCCATCTCAGGTCACTCAGCAGAGGAAACCTTTAATCAGGAGCAAGGAACCCTGTCCCGAAATTCAGCTGCAACAAAGGGAAAAGCAGGAAAAGCTCGTCCTGCCAGGCCCGCAGCCTTCCCTGCCGCTCCCCCTTTGCCGAAAAGGCAAAAGGAAGCCGGGAAGGGAGAGGTGGCACACGAGGGGCTGGGCAGGAACCGAGGGGCTGGGCAGGAACCGCTGAGTTATTCCAGCGGGAGGAAGTGGCAGGAGACGCGGGGACTTCCCAGTTCCTTTGAGCCGGAGCTGGGAATTCCGGGTGCAGCGATCCTGACAGTGATCCCAACAGAGTGGGATCCCCAGTGAACGCGTGCTCCCGGTGCACCGGCCTGCCCATCCATGCCACAGTGGTCAGGAAGGGAGCAGGGAGTCCTGGATGTGTTTCCCTGGAGCGAGAGGGACAACTGAATTCCAGTGTTGCCCAGAAAAGCTGTGTCTGCCCCATCCCTGGAAGTGTTCCAGGTTGGACGGGGCTTGGAACAACCCCTTCCAGTGGAAGATGGGATTCAAAGGTCATTTCCAACCCAACTCCAGGATTCCATGGAACTTTGGTCATCCCTAAGCCACCACAGGCTCCAAAAAGTCCACCTCTCCTTCTCCTGTACCCCAAATACGGTCTCCCCTCTCTTGACAGGCTCCAGTGCATCCCCAGCCCTTACTGGTTCTGGGCACTCGCAGGGTGGGGGTCCAGAGGGGTCCTGGGAGTCAGTGCTGGGGTCCCAGAGGGATCCTGGGAAGGGCGGAGGGGTCCCAAGGGTGCTGGTGGGGGTCCTGGGTAGACACAGGGGTCACACTGGGGGTTCCTGGCTCCTGGTCCTGCCAGTTCCAGACAGCCCCACAGGGGTCTTGGGGAGGGGACCCTGAAGTGACCCAAGAGTCAGGGGGAGGGGTCACTGGGGTCATGGTGGGGGTCTCAGAGGTCATAGGGGGAGTCCCAGGGGACACTCTGGGGTCAGAGTCTCCATGCTGGGGGTCCCCATCATGACATCCCAGGCACCTGGCCCCAGCACTTCTGGGCATCCCCAGGCTGGGGGTCGAGGGGCCTCCTGGGCTGGGTTGGAAGGGTCCAGGGTATCAATATGGGGGTCTCAGAGGGGTGTCAGGAGTCACAGTGGGGGTCCCAGGCCTCCAGCCTTGCCATCTCTGGAGACCCTCATGCTAGGGGTCCTGGGGAGGGGTCCCTGAAGTGGCCCAGGGGTCAAGGTGAAGGGGTCCAGGGGTCAATGTAGGGATCTCAGGGCAGTCCCTGAGGACACCCTGGGGTCAGGGTGGAGGTCCCAGACCCCTGGCCCTGCTGGTTCCAATCAACCCAAATATGGGAGTCCAAGGAGGGGTAGAGAAGTCCAGGAGGTCAGTGCGGGGATCCCAGGGGTCACAGGGGGTCCCAGGCCACTGGTCCTGCCAGTTCCAGACACACCCAGAGTGGGGGTACAGGGAGGGTCTTGGGAAGGAACCCAACACGTAATTCAAGGGTCAGGGTGGAGGGGTCAAGGACAGTACGGGGGTCTCAGTGGAGGTCCATGGGGTCTTGGGGACGGGTCTCAGAGGAAACCTAGAGGTCAGAGTGGGGGTCTCCATGGTGGTGGGGTCACAGGTCCCCAGACCCATAGGTACTGGGCACACCCAAGCTGGGGGGTCCAGGGTAGTTCTGGGGAAGGGGCTCTGACGTGGCCCAGGAGTCAGCGAGGTGGGAGATCTCACAGGCGTCCCGGGGGTCAGGGTGGGAGGGTCCAGGGGGTCCATGTGGGGGTTCCAGCCCCCCCCAGCCTCGCCGGTTCCTGGCACTCCACAGCCGGCCCCGCGGACCCCTCAGACTGCCCCAGGGACCCCTCAGACGGCCCCGAGGACCCTCAGCCGGCACCGGGCAACCCCTAGATCCGCGCAGGCCTCAGCGCACTCTCCGCCCCACCGGCCCCAGGCTCTACACAGGCCTCACGCGCCCACCCAAGCCACCACACCCCACACAGGGGTCCCGCGGCCGCAGTCCCAGCCCCCCCGAACCCCGCGAGCCCCGGTCCAGCCCGGCCCCGCCGATGCCCCCCGGCCCTCCCCCGCTCACCCGCGGCTCCTCCCGCCGCTCCCGGCCCCGGCCCCAGCCCCGCCGAACGAAATGGCGGTCGTGGCCCTTCTGGGCCTGCGCGACCGAACCGGATGTGGGCCGGGCACGGCGGGGCAGCCGCGCCATGATGAGGAGGTCGGATGGTTATGAGGGAAAGGTCCGCCATCACCATCTTGGGAAGGTCACGCCGGCTCCGTGAGTGTCCAGTGCCGCGGCGTCTCGGTGACCAAAGGCAGAGCACCACCAGAAAGAAGAAATTCCCCACTCTGTTCCGAAACACTACTGAATGCCCGTGGTGCTGCGGCAGCGCCGCCTGTCTCCTCCCCTTCCGCCATATTGAGAAGGTCAGCAGTCGCCATGTTGGGAGGGTTGACGGGCACTTTTTGTTGTCGCCATGTTTGGAAGGTCAATGATTGTTTTCCGCGCTGCTGCCATCTTGTGAAGGTCGACCCCATCTCGTCGGTGCCGGGGCTGTGACGTCACCGACAGCAAGGCTGTGACGTCACCCCCACAATGACCTCAACCCCTACCATGACATTAGAGACAGGTGCTGGGACAGACTTTTATTGGGGCTCTCCACCCCCCCCCCAGCTTGATTTTTTTTTTTTTTTTTGCCATTTTTCCTCTTTTTTCTTAAAAAATAAATGTACAATTCCGGACAGCGGCAGTACAAAATATACACGTCTGGGGGGGGCAGGCCACACATACAAAAATAGAGGGGACGGGGGGGGTCACATGGCCCCCCCCAGGGGCCCCTGTGCCCCAGCCAGGGGAGGGGAAGGAAGAGGGGGATGCGCCAGGGGGGTCCCCAAACCCACCCCCACCCCCCCCCCCCAAGGGTGGGGGCAGCACCCAAGGGCCGGGGCTGGGCAAAGTGCGTCAGTGCTGGGGGGCTCCGGGCCCCCCGGGGGGGGTCCCGGGGTTTGGGGGTCCCGGGGTGAGCCCCCCCCTCACTGGCTGCCAGGCTCCAGCTTGTAGGAGAGCTCGAAGAGCAGGTTCTGGTTGTCGATGACGCGCAGCTGCCGCACGTAGGCCTTGGTCTGCAGCTGGGCCGGGGATGCCTCCAGCTCCAGGCCTGGAAACGGGCCCGGAACAGGGAACAGGAAGGATGGGGATGGAAAAATGCAGTGTGCGAATGGAGAGGATGGGCATGGAGGAAGAGGCGGGGATGGAGGGATGGGGATGGAAAGATAGAAGATGGCAGTTTGGGAATGGGAATGTGGGAATGATGATGGAGGGAGAGGGATGGAAGTACGCAGGGATGGCAAGGCAGTGGTGGGAATGCAGGGGATGTGGGGATGGAGGGGATGCAGGAGGGAAATGGAGATGGCAACATGAAAGTGGGGATTGAAGGATTAAGAGATGCAGGGGACAGGGATGGGGATGAAATGGCAGCGTGGGAATGGGGGTGTGGGGACAGGGATGAAGGGATAGGGATTCAGGCATGCAGGAATGGGGATGGAGGAATGCAGAGTGAAGGGATGAGAGATGAAGGGATGGATGAAGGATGAGCATGCAGGGATTTAGGGATGTAGGGGTATGAACAAGGAGGTGTGAGGATGCTCTGGCCAAATCCCCATCCCTCAAGGCCAGCATCACAGGTTCAGGGCCGTGTGGGCCTCCCCAGCAGTGCTCCCCCTGGCCCCAGCAGTGCCCCCCCTGGCCCCAGCAGTGCCCCCCCTTGTCCCAGCAGTGTCCCCCCTTGTCCCAGCAGTGCCCCCCTGGCCCCAGCAGTGCTCCCCCTGGCCCCAGCAGTGCCCCCCCTTGTCCCAGCAGTGTCCCCCCTGGCCCCAGCAGTGCCCCCCTGGCCCCAGCAGTGCTCCCCCTGGCCCCAGCAGTGTCCCCCTGGCCCCAGCAGTGTCCCCCCTGGTCCCAGCAGTG